GGTTGTCTCCCCACTTGATCCATCCCGCAGAGTTGACGACGGAGCCGAGGTTGCTGTTCTGGAAGACGACACGGGCGAAGGTGCGCCAGGGACGGCCGAGATATGTCTGACCATCGCCGACTCCCGAGAGGGCCTTGACAGTGGACTTGTTGATGACGTACCACGACGGGTTGCTTGTAGAGTCACGGCCAGAGGCGGTGATGTATCCCTTGCCGGAGATGGCGAGTGTGCAGGACTCGAACCAGGCGATGGCCTTCTGGCCGAAGATGAAGTCGGTGGCACCCTCGATGTAAGAGCCGTGGAAGTAGTGCTTGCCCTGGTTGGAGAGCACAGTGTCCTGGTAGCCCTTGGCTTGGATGCCGTAGTATCCCTGCTGGTTACCGTAGGCGCTCAGGGCGATGGCTTGAATGCCCTTGCCGCGGGAGTTGACAATGTTGATGTTGTAGACTTTGAGGTTGTCGTTCTTGGCTCGGAGGGTACCGGAGGCGTCATTGTTGCCGGCTTGGTCAGCACCGAGGCTGTTGGTGATAGTGACGGTGTTCTTGGAGTAGTCCTGGTCGTTGGACGTGGAGCCATAGATCGTGAGAGCGCCGACGGAGGCAGGGATCAAGACCTGTTCGTTGTATGTACCAGGCTGGATGAAGATGACACTGCCAGATTTGGCAGCATCAACAGCCTTCTGGATGGTGCTATACTGACCACCAGACTTGGCGACTACGAGAGCGCCGGAGGGGGGAGACGTCCGGGACGCGCCGAGGGCGCTGGCCACCAGGGACGACAGCAAAAGAATGGAAGAGGCAAACATGTTGCTCCAGTTGAGAAGTTGTGGATAGAAAAGAATGCGTGTGTTCTCAGAACATAACGAGTGAAAAAGGATGCGCAAAGGACGGAAACGGTCTCAATGAGAAGTCAACAGAGCAAGAACAGGCCACACGGAAAGCCATATCCTAGGAGCACGCTCTGGTTTTCTAGTCTCCAGATGTCCTCACGGCGCAACTTCTGCGGATGTCAGGGAAGTTCTCCGAAAGGACGTCAAGTCTTGGCAAACACCTCAACCCCAAATCGATCCAATGTCAAGCTTCTTCTCCCTCTAGTAGTTCTTGGCAGTCAAGGACGTGACGTTTCAATAAACTCGATTCGGCTCTAGTTTCCCTGCAATACGACTTAAGACCGGACGAGCAGTCCAAAGAATAGAGTGAAAAACAACTCTATCCGCAACGACTTGACGTGCCCGACGCAGGGGTCCTGAGATCCGCCTGGTGGGAAATTGCGCTTCTGTTTGTGTGCAGTGTTTGCTGGCGCTTCAGGGGGCGTTCGCAGATTTACTCATCTTTCCGAGGCCACAGCCACCTGACCAACGCCTGTTCGGGTTCTCCAAATCCCCAGATGGTCTAGACGCTTCTTCTCCTCGTTTTCCGTGTGGTGGACTTCTCCTGATGGGGTATCCACCTCCCCAATTCGAAGCGCCTAGAGGCACTCAATTACAGGGGTGCATAAGCAAGCATAGCTAGTTCGGTGGGCCTGTTTCCTGTTTAGAGGGTTCTCCCCAGACTCTTGGTCCTGGGATCAGACGAGAAAATGGCTCGAAAAGGAGTTTGTATCGTGCTTTGTGGAAGATTTCTGCCCAGCACATTGATGGTGTGTTGATCCCGTGTCCCGTATCCAATGCCAAGCACGAGTTCTGGGGGAAAGGAGCGTTGTGACCGCTGAACAGCTCGGGTCCTCGCAGGTCTTTACGAGATTCTCCACTCAGCAAATGCAGTGAATACTACGTTGACGGATTGTCTGCCGCCGCCGCTGCTCATCGGGGATCAAAAAGTCCGCAAAAAAGCCCGATCGAGGTGCTTACATGTTTTCGGCTGAGTGAACACGGTTCGGGTTGAAATAACGTTTCAAGGTTGGCTGCAGTCGTGAGTTTATCCTGGTCAGCGCACGAATGATGTCTAGTGGGCGCGTTCGACCGTGACCTCATGTTACCATGAAAAAGCAAAATGCCATCAAGTTCTGGATCAACAAAGACACAATTGACGGGAGACCTCTCGTTTCCTCGCTCTCGGTAAATACATCGCTTCCGCCCCGGAGATGCGCTGATCGGGGCAGGCATTAAGATGAAACGGCTTACATGACACCTAATCTCATCACGGTAAGCTCCCTATTGGCGCACTGAAAGTTCCCGCTTCTAACATGACATTAGCACATTATTGGACACCAGTGCCAAGCATTTCAGACAAATAAGACTGCAGTTGAAGTAGCGAATTGACAATTGAAATCCTTACTTGGTCCAGAGAGGTTCTCCTGTCTCAAGGCCAATGCACTTTTTTGTTTCAGTCCCCCCAACTGCTTGCGATTTTCAATCAGATCAAGTACCGCACAAAAACGGCCCACGCGCTCGCAATGATGGCAAGTAACAGCCCGAATGTGAGAGTTGTGAACCACTTCTTCGAGGTTCGTCTCGTCAGGGGATCAGCCTCTCTGTCAACAATTTGAGCCTCCCTAGCTTCTCTCTGCTTCCTCGTCATAGTCATGCCCTTGCCGAGAAACTTGTAGTCGATGAAGATGTACGAAAGCCCCAACACGAACGCCCAGGCTTTGATCGCGATAGCAACGATGAGCACCTTTGAATAACCATTGCCTTCGGTGCTATCTTGGAGGGCGCCAAAGACGACGTCCATCTACACTCTTAAGTCAGGAAAAATGACTCCAGACAATCTTTTGGGTGAGGACGACTTACGATCGTTGAGCCGGAATTGTTGAACGCTCGCCATACACCAAAGGCCGTCCCGATCTTGGCTTGATCTGCAACCAGCAGCGGAATGCAAATCTGCAACGGCATAGAGTTGATCACGCCTGCCAGACTTGAAAAGACCAGGGCTGCTGTCGGATGAACGTCGGTAAAGCCCAGTATCGAGCAAGCAATGATCCATAGTATGGGGGCAGTTGCAACGTAGTGAAACCGGTGTCCATATTTGTCAATGGCAAGTCCAACAACAGGGCTCAGCACAATTGGCAGAATCTTCTGCGCAGTCGACAAGTACCCAGCCACCTCTTCAGTGTACCCTTTCATAAAGATGATGTCTGCAGAGCTGGTGCTGAATCCACCTGCAGCACCACTTTGTAGAAGTTGTGTTGCAGGCAGCATGAGATACGCCCAAGGTAGTGTGAACAACGCGTTCCACGAAAATCTTTTCCGGTCCGACAAGTTCTGCTTCTCCGCAATAGCTTTAGCACGGCCGGAAGTGAGGCGAAAGTGTTCTGGGACTGCGAGGCGTTCGAAGCAGACGTATGCGATGCTGACGGCAAGTGAGAAGCCGCAGAAGAAGACGGGGATCCAGAAGGTCCAGCCGTACCAGCCCGTTCCGTCGCGAATGGGGATAGCCACCATGCCGGACACAAGACTGACGGTGTTGGCAATGGCGCTTTCGAGGCCGAAGGCGAAGGCTAGACCGGAGGCACCGAACCAGTAGTAGAAGAACTGCCAGGTTGATGTTAGTCACGCATGTCAAACATCTAATAAGTATCCCTAAATGCCCAGAATGAACCTACCTTCTGCGTCGCCGAGTCAAGCACCGCAATCCCGAACCCCATTAGCACATGTCCGGAGACGAGGACCCTCCACAACCCCACTTGCACGCCGGCCGCCGCAACCACGGAGCCGACGAGGATGACCGCCGTGCAGCACATGGTCACCACATTCGGGCCCCACCAATCCAGGATCAAACCTCCGATGATGGGAAACACCGTATTAACGAATGCATCCGCGCTGCTGATGACACCAAACTGCGCATTGTTGATATCGAGCTCGTTCCGCAGGGTGTTCTTCAGCGGGCCGAGAGCCGAGCCGGTCCAGGTATGCCCGATGGGCAGGGAAACAACGCATACGAGAGCGATCCATTTGTATGACCAGGGAATTCTCTGCAGTGTTTCGTCGTCATTGTCTCGGGGTGCGCTGGTCTCTGAAATTGGCGGTTCCGGCGACTTCTTGGTGTCCGTGACGAGGATATGAGATTTCAGAGCGGCATCCATCATGGGTGACTTGAGGACACCCTACCGAGCAAGAACACATACAAGAGCCTGAAGGTGAATGCGACTCTTATTTTAGCTAAGAATTTGCGCGAAGTCCCATGGTCAAGGCCAAGCCAGGCCAGACTCTCTAGTGTCGAAAACTCGGACAGAAGACCGACCACACTGCCACCACTTTCCGACTTCGAAATCTTATCTGATCCATCTGATTTGTCGATCCATGATCTGATAAAATATCGCACTCCATTACAGTGCTCTAGTGTGCCAGTGAATCCTCAGGGAATGTCGTCTACGAGGCTTGGCGGCCAGTTTCGTACCCATATCAGCACTTGGCATCGGTCCTTTGGTGCGCTGGGTCTTGGCATGTCTCCATACCGACCGACTCGCCAACCGATTTGAGTTGATAGTCCACAGCCTTGTCAGACACCTGAGAGTAGGTAAGTATACCCGAGCGGTTGAAATATTCGGTGATTTCTTTTCTGGCCCTAATTGTTTCGGGCGTTTGCTAAAGAAGTGGGCACCGATGGTTGTGCTATTCTCTCGCGCATCAAAATTTGCGATAGCAAAGTTGAAGCCTAAGAAGATATGACTGATTCTACAGTATCCTAGACAGAAGCGCATGGGGCGTTTGCGGGTTGTGAACCTGCAGGCGTCCAGGCTAGCAAGTCAAAATCTCAATTGCACAATATACTTGTAGATGTTTGTAAATCATTAGACATTAATTACATACGGTTCTTGCGTACATTCATAATCTCATCAGATTCGCTCAAAGCTTCAGATACTGGACCATGTCAGCTTGCCGTCGCTGAGCACCGCCTACGCCCGTCGTCTCAGCTGGGGACTGTGGGACAGCGGCGCGGATCACCAATTTGATCGGTAAATTGACAAATACCGTGTTCGATGGGATCGGTGTGATGATAGTAGTTGAAGGCGTCTCTTCGACTGTCGTAGAGCTGCTCGTCACTACGACGGCAGGAGAATTAGAAGAGACGCTGATCTCTCTGGATGACTGGGTGGAGGGTGTCGGCGTGGCAACGCTCGATACGGAGACCAATGTGCTCGGAGATGGTAAGATGGGGCTGGAGGTCGACACGGTCGGTACCGAACTTAGGATCGGAACATTCGATGAAACTGGCAACACCGAGCTGGGAACTGATATGACCGGGAGCGAAGTTGGCAGAGAGGTCGGCAGAGACGACGGCACGGAGAGGGGAAGAGAAGCTGGGACGGATCCGGGGCTAGAGCTCGGACTCGGGTGGACGACAGGCAACGTGGTCTGAGAAGAGCTTTGCCCAGGCACGGGGCCAGGGTTGGAGTTTGGCTCTGAGACTGGTGGGGTCTCTACAGGGCTCGGAGACGGTGCTACGACAATGGGTGAGCTGGTGATCACTTGCGAAGTCGCTGGTACCGATGCCAAAATGCTCGAGTTCGTGAACCGGAAGGAAGATGAGGGGCTGAAGACTTCTGGCATGGATGTTGTTGTTTGGGGAAGAGTCGGGATGTCGCTTGAGGACACGCTCGATGAGACAACCGGGGGGCTGCTGCTACTTCTGGTGCTCGTAGTGGACGTTGAAAGTGGGCTAGGGGACGTAGAACTAACGGCCACCGAGCTGGCACTAGTAGAGGACGAATCTGCCGACATCGTTAGACCATACTAGCGCAGTACCGGCGTGAACATACCTGTTGAAGATGAAGAACTTTGAGAAGGTGTAGATATAGGTGATGTGGAGGCGGAAGGGCTCGTCGGTGTCGTCGTTGGTATAGTTGTCGACGCAGTGGATGATGAGGTAGAAGCTCCAGTTGCGGAGGTTGAGGAAGAGGATGATGAGCTCGCCGGTGACGAAACACTGGACGAAGTGGAAGTGATCGTGGAAGAAGTACTCTCGCTGCTGATCTCTGTTGCGCTAGACATAGTCGATGAAGTACTCGAGGTCGAAGAAGTAATCGTACTACTTGTGACACTACTCGTGGCGGTTGAGCTTGAAGAGCTAGTGGCGCTTGTCGATGTCGGTGTAAACGAGGAGACAGTGCTTGATGTGCTGCTGCTCGAGGAAGTTGTTGTGACAGCGGTCGAGGTACTCGTGAGAGTGCTAGAACTGCTACTCGAACTTGATGATGTTGTCGAGCTCCCAGGCGAAGTTGAGATAGCCTGGTAACCGTAGACATTGTATACGGTAATGCCATTCACAACGCCGCCGCACTTTTGTCCAGGTGTTTGAGGATTTGTACAGTCAATAGTGCAGTGGGAATCGTCAGGTGCTGGATTTGCCGCAAAGGCCGGGTTTGCTGAAAATTGGGCGCAATAACAGTGCTGATCGTACAGGGCAATGTATTGACTTCCGAAGTTGGACATACAGACCTGCTGGCAATCTGATGGATCCCAGATGCCTACGTCCTGGAACTGGTTATTGAAATTGGTGATAGCGCCACATCCAAGGTAATTATATTGGCAATGGACGACTTTTACCGTTGTCGTTACCCATAGTGCTGCAATGCCAGCTAGCGTAGACGGTCGAATCATATTAGGTGGTTGTCCTCACGGAAGTTGAACTCTCGTGCACTAAAAGCAGAGGTGAGTGTCGTCAGCCTGTGGTAACTTATGTTAGGCTACAACTACTGCTGCCTTATGTAGGTAGGCAGTACATTCAGCACTCAATGATTCTTTCCCATAGAAGGCCACTGATGATCAACAAGCCCACTTGTACGCTTGTCTCTAATCAACCTTGCGCAAGGGCACAGGAATGCTGTTTGAGTGAATTTGACAACATCCCGCTGTGAGGCTAATGGAACCAAAATCAACATGACCCCATCCTGAGATGAACTCTTCTGTTGAACCTGGACTTGGCATGCCAGCAAAAGTGGCACTTGGCGCCAGACAAGCCAATCAAGATCGTAGTACGATGACTTTGTCGATTGGATCGTTGATTGTCCTGTCTTGTTTTGTCTCATGGTCCCTTGAAGGTGGCGGCGAGCCGGCCGTCGGGCCTCGCCTGATCAGCCAAGCTGGACAAATTGAGACATTCTGAGCAGTGCAGAGGCATGGAACGTAGTTCCTGTCAGGAGAATCAGAATTAAACGCCATTCCAGACCCAATGGTGATGCCATTGATGCACGTGGCAAGGGGCTCTGCAGACTAAAGGAGGAAAGCTTCCGGCTTGGTCTCGGCCGGAAGGCTGCTTTTCTCGGAGGCGAGTCTCTTCGCATAAGCTTTGAAATGGTCTACGGATTCTGGACACCAGACCACCAGCTTTTCCATGCTCATTTCCACACATCAGATACCATGCTTCACCAAATGATGACGAGGCTTGGCACAGCCACGCCGCGCTGATTCTGATTTTATTGTCTAGGTGCGGGAAAATTTGAAGTCGCAATTCTCATTCCTAGCTGATGGCATCACCGGGTAGTCGGCAAATTAATGGCATGCTTTCCTGTGTCACTGTGCTGTGTCACTCGATTTCATTAGTCTACAGCTTTCTTGTAGACATCTGCTGCAGAGGATTCTCAGTGTTGCTTATTGCTTATCCTTCTAAAAGCCTGGTTCACGTCATTTTTGATCATCAGAGGTGCGTGTGAAGGTATAGTAGAAAACGTAAGAGTCGGCTACCTCACTTCATGCGCTAAGAGACTTTTAAGTATCCAGTGAGGGAAACAATAGCTGACCCAGTGCAGCCAGTTTGTAACCCTGCCCAACTATGATAGCGGGGATACTTACACCCAATACTTGCGCGCTGAAAGCAAATGACAGGGACCCAGGACAGAACATGAGAAGTGCCAGCATCTCAGTGCTATCTTACATGTAGACCAGAGTCAGTGTATATAAGACCACATGTTTAGCTAATGCTTAAGAACAGGGCACAGTGTCTCGGGAGCAGCGAACATTCGAATGGACGCGCAGTTCCCATCTGTTTCTCATGCGGTCCTGAATAAGGCAGTTTGCAGACCCAGCGCAGTTGCCATTGTCAAATGAAATACAGACAGGAATGAGACAAAAGGCCTTATACAATTCAGATAATACGCGCCAGACGATAGATGTGACGGACGCGCGAGACAAAAGTTCACCATACAGGGGCACACCTACCGCTGTCATCATCGCAATTCCCATCGCACCTCGCTCCATTCAATGCCAGACAAAGACCACAGCAATTACATCTAGGCTGATTTCTGGAGCGGTCAATGCGTTCGCATTGTCTTGCTGGCGGCTGTAGCCAGCAACTCCAAATATGCGCATTATATACTTTAGTGTCTGCCATTTCCAGTCCGCCTCAAATGAGATAAAAGGAGACCATTTATCCCCATTAAGCCTTGAGAACTCACATAAGTCAAAGCCGCCTTCATTCAATTGATAGGCGATATAGCTTCGCTACGCAGTACAAAGATGCCTTTGCTATCCAGATCAAAACAGCAGTGCCACAGGCTCGCAGCAAGTCTCTGCTGCGCTTTTGCGCAAAAGGATTAAGTACTGCGTAATCGCGCAGAAATGTACGCATACGTAAAAAGACATCATGATGGACGCAGAGAAGCCAAATCTGATTTGAACAAAATGCAAGGAAGCTATGTAATCGCGCAGCAGTGTATGTATACACAAAGAATCATCGTGAGGGACGCAGGCAAGTATATTATTCTGATGAGAACAAGGTGCAAGGGAACCAATCACACAAAGCGAGCAAACATCACATAGGGGGGTGAAGTAGTAATATGCGTATCTCAATCAACCCCATTGTCTGCGCGATCACTGGAGAGATCATTGCTGGTCAAAGGCTACCAGCAGGCTCAGAGGCCCTCCTTTTATAGTTATGTCTTATGTGTGAAGCAACTTATGCTTCGTGGTGTCTATTTTTCAAGGAATCTTGAAAGTTTTCTAGCTGACTGCATATTATTTCTAACTATCGTCACGCGCGTATTCCCACTCTAATCAGCTAGGAGATTTTACGCTGGACGTAGAGAAGAAAAGAGCCCCTTAGACTTTTGATATCTATCTCTAGGAATAATAACACCAGGCTGAAGAGAACACACCTAGGTCTGGAAAATTAAACGTCAAAGTGACCACCTCAAAGGCCCACTCCGCGCGACTCGCCAGTTCTGTCACCCCCAGTTTGAGGTTGAGGACAAGCAAGGTGTCAAACTAAGGTGAGACAAAGAAGTTAGAACACTTGCGCGAAAGTGACGGGAGGCATGAGAACGCTCAAGCACACAAGCAAACAAGACATACTCAGGCCACACAAAAGGCTTACAAGCAAATCTTCTGAGATCCAAGCTCTTTACCCTGAGTTGTGCGAAGCTCAGCCAGAAGATGTACGACAACCTTCAATGCATATCAAGCATAACTCAGGAATAACCAGCAGTACTCATCAGTATCTGAGAACTCAAGTACGCTTCCACCAAAACCACAAGCTTTAAAGACATTAGTCACCTCTTTCAACCAGAAGGCTCATCTGAATGTTGAAACTCGTGTGTATTGAATGCGACATCAGCAGGTCAGAGGTCATGTTTGCCGCAGCCCTACACCCTCCAAAGGCTGACGGGAATAACGCACACTGCCACGATCCTCTTGTCTCTTCCCTCTTTACCCCTCTTTCGGAGTCTTTCCCACAAACCACAAGTCAACCAGCTGTCCGCAGCCGCGCTGTCAATAATAAACCAGCCAACCCCTGCTTCGCAAGCTGCTTCGCAGGTGCAAATGGTCGTTGTCGCCCTTTCTAATCCCACTCAAAGAAGGCAATTCACACAAAGGACATCGGTTCAGCGCCCCCATCGGATGCGAAAGCGGGGGTTTTTCAACTTGCCACGTCCTTCAGAATTTCCCATGGTACGCGCCCCTCGTATAACATGCGCATGGATTGGGGGGTAAATGAATGAGAGGGGAGGAGGAGGGAGAAAATTTCTATCAGCAAGGGTACGCCAGCCGTCCAGCCCCAAGCCCCAAGCCCCCGGCCCGAGAAGACCGGCCAGCCGGGCCCCGCTCCCGTACGGTCCCCACCTTTCAGTTTTGCCTTGGCATTTGCCGGTCGGAGGCCCTTGCTTGGCTGAGGTACGCTTGGCCACTAGGCCCAAGCATGCTTCAATAGTTGCGAGGTTTGTCCACAGACAACTAACCAACTCCATGTATAAAGTTTGATAGACGCATGTCGAAAGACAACGCTTCGGCCGTAATTGAGTTTCTCGGAATACGAAGTTGAGAGAAGGAGATATTTTTCCCACTCACAGTATCTCACATCGGACATCGTACACTGGTCTTTAGCGAGCGCTGACCGATGTCATGATCGGCTGTCGTTATCGTTCCTCGCAAAGTGAACGACAAGAACCATGGGTCAGCCTTCATTACTTCCTTGTCGGGTAGGATTTTCGCGAGCCAGCGTACGTCAACCTATCCAACAAGTCTTTGCAAGGGTCCCTTCTAGTTGGGGGCAAGTTTGCAACGCATACAAGCGCCCGGCATCGAGATCTAACCATTTTTGGAAGGTTAAAGCACCGGAAGGCGCGTTACTAGGGATCCGATCTCAGGCCAGTGCCTTTACGAATGCAGATCGATACGGGTTATTGAAGATTCTGCCATGCAAAGGCGGCTGTAGAGAACGGGAAGATTCGCCGAGGTGGGTGGGTATTTGAACCGTGAACACTACACTCGTAGATGTAACCCCTGGAATGTACAGAATATGTATCCTGCGGCTCGGCTTTTTTGTATCAAGTACCCAGGGTGATTTTACCGTCTTTCTTTTCTCGATGGGCCGTAGCCATAGCCTCACGGCTGAGATGTGACTGCTCTCCTATTGACCCCATTCTCAATATCACTCGACCCCGTGGGAGTCAACCGAACTATGGGCTCTGGCCCGACAGTAACCAACCAGCTGAGTGTCGGCGGAAACAAGACGCGGATAAATCTCAAATCCCCATGCAGTTCGGGGGGCTGGACCAGTGCGGGCGGGTCGCCATCGGAAGGTGTCGACGGGGCTCCAACGTCCGCCGATCCGTCTCGGATGTTCAAGAGAATTCCATGCAGAAGATGAATTGAATTTTTTTCAATCTGCGGACATGGGCCCCTCCACTTGCTTTGCGACCGACGGAGCACGCGAGCAAATACTCTTTCAAGCGGCCGCTTGAATTCCAGTTCAGTGTTATTGGTGCAGATTTTCAATTTGCCCCTGCTTGTGGCCCGTTGGGATGCTCTCGGTGACGGATTCGGAATAGAGTCGCGTGCTCGCCCTCGAAATGCCCGGTCGGTGGGACTCCAAGGTCTCAACCCGCTCTGTGTTTCTGTCTCCGCTTACATTGGTATGACTGCAGCAACGGTCGAGAATCTACCCGGAACAGGGTACAAATCTGTGCAGATGCGGCTCCGTGATGGGCTAGGACCTT